AGATCTTCGAGCTACCTAACCGATGTAACTGAGTGTCTAGTGGTATGTCGATAACCGACTGACACAGCATTACTTTACATCGTAATCGATTATTTATCTTATAAAGGTTYAAATAAATATATACATAAATTATTATTTAGTGACTATGAAGTTTTAATTTTTCTACTTGACAAAATATTATTTTATACATTTTTTTAAATTTTCTCTTCAATATACAATAAATTTTGAATTTTGCCAAAATATGCAAAAAAATCCAATAACCTTTAAATATACAGAAATATGCAAAAAAAAAATCACCATTTGCTTCAAATTATGATGATTCGTGGACATAACTGACAACAATTCAAAAATATTAAAAGGAAAAAAATATGCAATTACATAGAAATCCGCGCTCTAATCATAATGTTTTAAGTATTTATAAGCCTCAAAAAAATATATTACATAACCTTAAGACCACTCTGCTAATAATAATTGGATTAGCGTACCCGGACAAGGAGAATTCTGATAGGTTCAAATGAAGCCATGATCGACAGAAGTAAAAATATGAACAAACCAATAATGGCTGATATCAAACTACCAAAAACCATATAGTTTCGAACAGTGAAATTATAAGGTAATTTTTCTATAGTTTTAGCATGATGAATTGATCTAGCAACAACAGCTTGATCTGGTTCTGGAAAAGCCAAACACCATTCTTTAGTGTCACCTTGCATGCTGATTTGTTGTCTATGTAATATCCTAAAATTTAAAATTCATAGTTTTATACACAATAAACTTAAATTAAATATTCAATAATCAGTTTCATGTAAAAACAAMAAAATATTTTTACAACTGAGACAAGGCACATTTATATTTTGAAAGACTATTCTATAAGCATTTTTGAAAAAAGTTGTAAGTTAACAACAATGATTAAAGGTTTTTTAAAAAGAAAATACTAACTTCACAACAGTATAGAATAATCATTTGTCTGTAATTTTTAACATAAATGTGGAATATTGGATTGATCTATCATCAATAAAATTGTATCGTAAAAATATAATCTATTTAACCACTGCATTTTTTTTAAATGTCAAAATTAATCTAAGTTATGAGCTTTTTAAAATTTTCCCTTTACTCTAAATACAACATTTGCCACGTGAATGTGATAATAACAATGAGAAAATACATAAAATGTAACTTCTAATAAGCATGTTAGCTTAATGTAAAACAAATATTATAATATTATTTTAATATGTAAGGTAACAATTTTTAAAATGTTTTATACATTCTATTTTTTTTTAAATATATTTAAAATTAAAATAATAGTTTCATTTTGATGTATAAAACAATAAACCAGAACCCAGAAAAATTATGTTTTTCCATAATTAAATGATAAAACATTAAAACAAAAATGTGCTGTAAAATAATACTTACTTGGAAACATTTGGTTTTACTCTAGTTATTCCCATCAACTCATCTAACAGATTTCGATAGTATATGCGTTGTTTTTTGGTAGCCAAATGCAATATAGCACTAATCCAAGTACCGTCATGTATGAATGCACTCTAAATATGATAACAGATTATTATGGTTTGCAATCAAAAATGCCAATATATTTTATTAGTCTTATTCTCGGGAAAATTTTAATACAWTCAAATACTTAAATTACATACTAACAACCAATATTTTTTTATTTCAAAAAATAAAAATATATGTGTAAAATATAAGAACTGAGTCTGATTTTAAACAAGGAAATCAAATTTAAAACAATATTATTATTTATCAATTATTACAAAAGATTATTGGTTAATAAATAATATTTTATTATACAAGCTGATTCTTTTATCAAACAACATCCGTATGGTGTTTGTGTGTAAATAGTAAATACCACCTAATATACACCTATAACACACAAACACCACTCAAAACAACCCAACATTGGGAGGCTAAATCTTGTAAACGGATAAATGAAAAATGAAAATTTAAAAGTGAAAATTCATTGAAAAAATAGCCTTTTTAGCTAATGAAATTTTAAGAATAGGTTTTCATTTGAAAATCAAAAGTTGATAAATATAAGGCTGAAAATATTAAAAAAATATATAGTTCTAGAACAAGATGGATCCAAAATTTTGAAAAAAGTCAATAATTTTTAAAATAATGAGTGTTGTCTGATAAAAGAATCAGCCTGTATATTATTTATTTATCAAATTATGGTATGTTGATAGTATATTATAAAAAATATATTCTATATTTTAATAATATAAAGAAAAAAGTATTACTTACGTTAGTTAATATATATGAACTGCTATAAAGTTTCATGTACATGTCAACAGTCTCCAATTCACCTAAAAATAAAACAAATAATTCAGGCAACTACATTACTTTTTTTGAATTCTATAAACTGCAAATATACCACTAAAATTTTTGTATAAAAATTCTACGCCAAGATCCGCAGGTACACTTTCCATACCAAGTGCACTAACAATTATTGAATTATTTTTTTCAGCTTGACTATTATACATATATGCCATTTTCTCCATAAACTATAATTATAAAATAATTATGTGACTAAATATAAAAAATTAGCAAATATTAAAATAACAATATATTCCGAGCAACTTTATTTTTATATTTGTTAGTTTTCAACTATACAATATTATAAAAATAAAATAAAAATCATTCCTTAAATATTTAACATGCTTTTAGAAATGCATTTAAAATGTTTGTTGATTCTTTTAGGTCCTAATATACATATATATATAAACAATTAATCTAAATTTGAACAACCTATATCACTTACTAATGATTCACCAGTTACATCTACATAATGAGTAGATGTCAAAACACAAGATTTTACTACAACTTCTCCATATATATAGTATGGTCCAGTACAATTTATAACTACAGAAGTTGATTGAGCCATTCTCATAACAGTTTTAATATCTTGTACATCAGCATTAATAATATCAATTTTTTTATCTTCATAACCATCTATATAATATTTGATACATACATTAAAAATTGCTAAATATAAGTAATAATACGTATGATTATTTCTAGACCATAACATAACATCCATCGTTAATGTTTTTTTTCAAACAATAAATTATTTTATACAAACTAATAAAAAAAAGTAAATACAATTAAATTTTAAACTCTCAGATATTTTTAAAACTGAAGACAGTGCTTAACATCATTTATAGAAACGAAAAACACCATTGTTGTTTTAAAAGTCAAAGATTTAAACATATAGGTACACAATGGTTTTTAACGTTCCTTAAAAAATGAAAGCTGTTTATTTGTAAGCCCTAAATTGAACAAATAATTTAACAGTAATTATTATAGAAAAATAAAGAAACTTACCAATAGTATTATACAATTTATCCAATATGTTTTGTAATTTGTCAGCATTACGTCCAGCAATAGCCCAAGTTAGATTGTATAGTTGAGAAAAGCGACCCATTTCCATAACAACAAATTGCCCAGTGAATCCTGAAGCACCAAAAACGATTATATCATATTTGCGCTTAGATTTTATATTAGTGATTTGTTCATTGGCTGGATTGTGTTCAGCAGTGGTTTCCCGGTCAAGTATTTTATCTTCCATTTTTGCAACTTAGTCCAATGCTGGAAACAATATAGATTTAGGGTATTAAAAACATATTACTCCAGTAGTTTTTGAATATAAAGGTATTATTATACTGCTACTGTTTTTCAGGTAACCATTGTCAGAGGAGTGGCGAAGAGTAATTTCAGAGACAATTGCCCTGGGATTTTTCAAATATTGGGGGAGTGGTGGGTATCAAGGATTGTACTTATTTACATGCAAATACATGTGGAGTGGGTCATCTATATGGGGGGTTGCTTCTGGAATATTTTTAGTTTGGCACGCCACTGACCATGGTATACCAAATAGTTAAAAATATTCAATTACTTTACTAATTGACTAGATGTCAGGTGGTTATTAATGGGTAAATGACCAGTGAAAATGTTTTACCAAAATAATATTATTTAATTAGATGCATAATAGGATAATTTTTAACACAAACTATAGGGCTGGGGATAGCATCTACCATGACTAAATAAATGAGTATGATTACAAAAACATAGTTTTTGTCCGGTCAAATTATATACTAATGTCAGGCCCCCACAATGGGGTGGCGGGGGGGGGGTCAGAAGGACCAATGGTACTGAGTCTCGACGTTCATGCAAATAATTACCTACATTAAAATTACTTAAATATATATTTAAAAAATGTTCAGAGCCTGGATTTAGTTCTGTATCAAAGGAAAATATATGATGTAAGGGGCCTGGGTATAGTACATWGACGTCTATGATGTATGGCGTACATCAGTACATGTCGTACTTAACATAACAGTCAAGAACCCATTAAATTCCTTATGGCCCGGTCATATGGTACTCACCTCGAATAATGTAAGTAGGTGAGGTTGACACCGGTGAGTTTTAAAAACGACAACCACAGAATCACCGCCAGTGTCGATCCCAGACTTCAAAGGAGCCCGGTCGGAATCAAAATAGGCTCGCCGGAAAGTGGCACGTTGAAAAATTTTAAAAAAATGATATTGAAAAACGACAAGTTATTGTTAAGTAGTGAACTAGTGAGTACTGCGCGTGTGCGATGTGCCGAACTGCCGATTGTGCCGTACCGCCGTGTGCTTGACGGCGATGACGCTAGTCGGCGTTCCCCTTCCCGCTCAACAACACCAATAATACGGCATAATATAATAATGATAATAATTACTAGGTATATACTATATAGCATATATTCTGTTATTAAAAACTGTTAATGATAATACGAAGATTACAATGATAATCATTTCAGCATTCAACATTTCAACAGTCAGTGGTTATTGGACATGCGAAATTAGTAACTACAAAGTCCACAATATTATTGCACTGTTTACAAAAGAAATCTTACCCAAATATAAAATGTCTATGGAGTATGGGCCATAGTTGTACTAGGGCCGTATTTGAACATCTATTTAATAAATTTAACAAATTGTACATRTTATAACTTAAAAGAATCAATTAATTACAATTACATACAGGGGTGCCTCCAGACCTTGGCTATAGAGGGAGGCGAAATGATAAAAAGTTAATATTTATTTACACAGACAATTGAGCATAAACCGATTGAGTTTAAGTTTGGACAAGCGTAGTAGTGAAAAAACATTTTTCGGGGTTACCCCGTACCACTCCACTCTGCCAATCTAAACTTCAAAYACTTATAACCCATAAACTACTAGCCCTAAATTCAATTTTTATGAATCAAAATACTTAGAAAAATATTCTGCTTTGGAATATGAAATTAAAACTCTGTTGACATTCAAAAAAGTAAAAAACTTAGAAAATTATAAGGATAAAAAATATTTAAAAATGTAATTTTTTAATAGAAACGTTGATTTTTTAACAACTTGAAACCATGTAAAAAAATATTTTGAAAAAATTAAATACTTTTTTAAATAATGAGTGTTATCTGATAAAAGAATCACTCTGTATATGGTATGAATTAATAATAGTTATAAATTATTATATTATATTCTCTGAAAATGCTATGAGTCTATGACCAAGAATTTAAACGTGTTTTTTTATTTTTTATAACAAGATAATATGAATAAATTTCATAGGGGAGGGATGGGGGGTACCCCTTCRCCCCCACCCCTCACGCAGTCGCTACCAGTGAGGGTATTTAAACGAACATTTTTAGTAATTTTTCTTCGTTCAATAGTTTATAATTTCACATGATTAGGCGCACAAAATACATCGGTTTAAACAATACAGCTGATTCCCCATCGGCTTCATATCGCTAATCGCTACTATCATTCTATGCTATCACAGAACAATCTCAACACGGACGTTGYGTAGATAATATCAGTAATCACGAGCTAAAATAATATTATAACTACTTCTGTTAAATGCTTATTAGTTCGTGGATTTTGTATGTACAATATTAATTTTATTTAGTCTGTGATTTTAAATGGCTCATGGCTATATTGTACAATTTTTGATACCTGCGTGCTAGGAAAATTAAACTGAATTAGCTTCACCACTATCTGTACTGKCTAATGAAAAACAAGAAAATAATTTTACTATTTAACCTAATCAGAATCTCAAATACATAATTGATAATTGAACAATACATGCTCTAGTGTGGTAACAATCAACTTTTATTTGAGTGATTTGTATTAAAATTTTTAACTAGAAAATGTGGCAACAACAAGCCTTTGTCTTGGATTCCAAATTTAATGCCTATAGAACTTCAAATCACCCAAATTTTAGTAAGCWTTATAYTGCAATTAAATACATTGAAAAATGTAACATATATTAAGCGAAGTTCTAGCATTGAACTTTGTTTTAATGAATTACTTATACATGTGATAATATTATAGAAACAAGCTTTATTGCTCTATTACTTTTGTTCATTTCATCATTTTATTTTGAATATTAAATTTATAAAATTCCATARCAAAATATATTAGCTATTAATATTCAAATCATAAATCACATTGGTAAATAAATGAGAACGAAAGAATCTTAAGAAAATTTTCTTATATTTGTGTGTTTATTTATGTATGATTATGAAATWWTCATTATTTAGTGTACTACTAATTATTATTAGTCTATCAATAAATAATTTTTATTTAAAAATTTTTTGAACTTATAAACTGTAATACCTATTTAAATAAGTCATAATTTCTGCTTCATTACCTATAACCTATATGAAGTTGGGAATAATTAAATTCTTTAAATCCATTATTTTTTTTAGAAACACTTTACATTAGGAGAAGAAGTCAACTTCTCCGAGAAAAATCTAAACAAGATGTAGGTTATTTATCAACAGTATAGATTTTTGTAGCTACTTTTAGTAAGCATCTATTATTTATTATTTTTTAAAGGATATGATTCCGGGTATGCGAAGAAAGTATTTACGAATCAGATCAGCAATTTTACAAAACAGATATAATGTAAATTTTGATATGCAATCCAACAGTGCCTGTAGCCAAAGTACTAGTATGGTAAATATAATATTAATTATTATTATTTCTACCCAATAGGGTTCACAAAGAGATTTAATATTAAACATTTTTATTTTTATAAAACCACTAAGGCTTTTTAATCATAACAATCAACGATCTTTCAATACATTTCAAAGGTATACATAAATGTTAAATTAATAAATATTTTTGGTGGATATGCACAAACATATTTAGGTTATCAGTCCCAGTGGACAAGCCCTGGTTTCAAACTATATTATTTTATACTAAGTCATTTGGTTTTTGCCATTTGATTCAATATAATTATAAACTTATAAAGGTTATTAATGTYTTTTTTTTTTGTTTCTTAAATTAATATATAAATTACAATACCAATATAATATTTATATCACAGTGAACAAAATGTATATAATTGAAAAAAAAGGATTAAAACTTATAATTTATTTTTGTTATGGGGTCCATAAGCACGTTTCCTGTCTATAATTATCCTGTTGTTTAATAAGTATAAGGTATGCTGATATAAAGAATAAATTTAAAATGAATTGAACTATTAAACATAGCTTAAAATTTTAACAGATGAGTTTAAATAAAGAYAGACAATTAGAAATTGATGTATTACCTCGAAAGTATGATTTTTTATCATCGCCTGTTCCAACCACTCATGCTCAAGCTTCCAAAGCTATTGTTGGTAACAGTACCATGGAAGAAAATTATGCATTTAATAATGTTCATCACATCTATGATCAGGTACATATCCCATTTTTCTCTATTTTTTTCTCTTTGTTATTTTCTTGTATGATGTAGCATTCAGATGCAGTAACAATGTTGAAGTTTGCTAATAACGATAAATCTAAATTATGTTGTGCGTCAAACGATGGAACTCTTAGTATTTGTGATGTTTTGACATCACCTCCGTGTGTAAAAGCTATACTAAGATGCCATACAGGCCCAGTAACAGGTATTATATTTAATATTATGCTTTTATTATACAGAAAAATAAGACAAATAGACTGAAAGTAATTATAAGAATAATCCAAATTATTTCTTTATAGGATTACTGGCAAATAAAATGGGTTTTAAATAGGGAAAATACATGATTATGAAAGAGAAAAGGTTTATAAGTTTAAAGAAACTCTTTTTTTTTGCCAAGATATTATTATTATAGACTAAGAAATAATTCAAATTCTTAAAAATGGAAAATATTTACTGAAGGATATGAATGATATGATAGTTCTCCTTCCCACATA